AGATTATGTTTTGGGCAATGATATAACGTCAAAAACGGGTAAATATAGAATATGAGTGATGTAAACCGATTAAAGGATTCTTTACGATTAAGAACTGTGTCCACACTATTTGGTTTTAGTTGGCGATGGACTGGTAGTTACATTTTTCAGCAATCACATTTTCTATTCGATTTCATATAAACCTGTTTCATCCTCGTTGGAACGAAATAGGATGAACACATTCTTATTCATGATCTACTGGCGACTTTTAAATCTTTTCTTTCCAGTTCTTTCAAAAGTATACAATGACTAATTGGTTCACTAAAGACGAAAGACGCAGGTTGCCCAGTGATGAAGTCCAGTTGACCAACGAATCTCCCCCATTGTGGATGCTTATCATCAAATCAGCTCGACAGAGGGTTTTGCGAAAACTTAGCCGTTCACAGCGGAGAAGGCCTCATTTCCTGAGGTGCGAGGAAGTTAAGCTCAGATCGAGGGGTCATTTGCTCTTGCAACTTTTAAGCAGAAGTCTATGCAAATGTCGGGTGATAAATAAATTGGCAAAAACGAAGAGGACTGTCTAGACGTCAAGCCCCAGTGACATGAGCAGGCGCTAGATGTCATCAAGTGACCAGACTTAAAGAGGGAACTGGGGTGACATGAAAAAATTAGCACCCAGCACTCAATAAATAAAATAGCAAAGAAGAGTTAAGCGGTGAGGGTCCAATTGAGCGGTAGATGATGAGAAGAATCAAACGAAGAGAGGCTCATTACTCTAAATATTTACAATTTCTCTTCAGGATGGATTACTTGTTCCTCTTCGCCGGATTTTGTAAAACGTCAGGCTATGACGCGAAGAGCAAAGGGCACACATTAGTCATCAGACTATGGGACAGGCCTCTTTCACCGACGGACTCTGGATGGGAAAGAACTAGTAGAATCACATTTCCAATGGATCTAAGCAAAAATAGACGAAAGCTCGAGCAACTGACGACCAATTTCGGAGATCGGAGCAGACAAATGAAAGTGGTATGGGCTGGGTTGGGGTATCGTGGCCTCGAGATAGGACGACTGTGGACAGAGAGAAAACTGCAACATCCCACAGCACTCCAAGAAGTTGCATAATAGCAGGGCAATTGTGTATGAAAGTCAATCCCACATCTTCAGATGCAGGCAGCAGGAGAACATTCTCCACTCGGCAGGTGGTGCGCAAGAGTGGATCGGCTCGTGCACTTGTTTGTCCTATGCCCCAGCCGCCACAGGAGCCTTGCAGCAATGCGAAAAAAGAATGGAGGACTGACAATATCACCGACTATTAAAGTATGCTTTTGCGGTAGTCAGGCGTCAGTCCGAGCGGGGTGGAGGCCAATGTCAAAGGGACGGGTCATGAAACTGTCAACTTCGAGAGACACTCTCGAAGTGAAGTGATCCCGAGACTCCCAACTGCCAGAGGAGTTTGACAGAGATAAACGTTTTGATCAGTTAAATGCATTCCACGGACTTGGGTCTTTTCCACTAAACAAAAGGGGCTAACAAATGGCTGGCTCTTGTGGTGTGAGGGCATTTTTCACGCGACTTCCACAATGCACAGCGCTTGAGTATACCTTTGGTGGGCTTGTCGTGGGGGCGAAGAGTCGGACGTAGAGGAGCTGGGGATTTGCCAAAGAAGCGAGCTGACCGAAAATCTGGGCTGATGGGATAACTGACAAATTGGTCGCTTATCGGCTCTACTTAACCCGAGCGAGTGACTGGATGATTTGACTAAGTGGTCGGCGGAGTGGTTGACGGACTAAACATTTTGCTGTGGCTCTCTTTCTTTCCCTCGGGTCTATTCATCGACGAGCCTTCACATCCGCTTCAAGTGCGGATAATTGAAGTGGACGCAATGCGAATGTGTAGATGTCAAAAGATGTGGATGAATAGATGGACAGACCGGTGGTGGACAAGTGGACAGGAGTGTACCCCTCTCGATGAATGGGGCTATTGGCTTAGGGATGGGTAAGACGATCAAATGAGGTCCATCTGCAAATAAACAGTGGTAGCGAGACCAATGCAAGATGAGAGCTTTGCGACAGGGTGAACAAGACGGATTGGCCGATTAAATGACTTAATCAAGAAATGA